AACCATACAAACAATCAGACTTCCCGAGAAGACATACAGCACACCGCTGCGATCAGGCCAGAAAGTAAATTTCGAGCGACTGCACATGGCCAGTAGGTCCCTAACATTGTCAGCGAACAAGAGCATTCGAGGCAAAAATGCTGCGAGCCTCCCTACTTCGTGGTACCACCTGTTCACCGGCAATTACTAAAACTCGGTTCGACCGGCGTCATACACAAATCGTAAAAAACCCCACGACAAGTGGCTGGGAGTTCGAATGTAGCAGGTAGGAGGAGGGGGTAGTGTGCTGCGGGTTTCGTTCAAGGCAAAGAAGGAACTGGAATATGTGGATTTAATGGCTATATGGTATAAAACCTTTGTGGGTTAGCTACGTGATGTAGATCTGGAGTGGACAGGAGGCGGGAAGGTGATGGGTAGGAGGTGTGCTGCTAATTTTTGCTGCGGATACCCGGGGTAGGGAAAAGGCTGAAATACTGCTTGCTTCCAGAGTGGTCTTATAGTGGGGATGGAGAGGAGCTCACAAGCTACTTTGCTGTGGGGAAATGGCAGAGAAGGAGGACGAGGATACACAAGCCAGGCGAACCGGAGAGAGCAGTAAGGAAGAAATAACACATTACTACAAGGAAAAGATAAATAGCGAAGCGCGCTAGGGTAGCCGGTGCGATCATGCGTTTTGCGCAGTTCCATCCAACGAACGTTTGCTTACTACAAATATAACTGTTTTACACTTTCGTATGTGAAAAAAGGGCAGATATGCTGACCGGCTCCTAAGGCGAGAAATTTTCCACTAAAAATTTTAGGTGCCCGTATGCGAAAGCTGAATTTGGAAACATGGGTGGGGAACATCCTTTCAAATTTTAACCTAGTTTTTTGGCTTTCGAGCCAGCGACTTTCGCATCAAAATTCACACTTGATCTTATGTAAGACATCTGCGTACTTGGGAGCTAAATTGGAGTTTGTGAGACACCTGCAGTGGCAGAAAATATCGTCCTGAAATTTCAGCTTCCTAGCTTTCATGGTTCCCGAAATAATTTTTCGCCAAAATCTTCACGAAGCTGTATGCGATACCCAAATGCACGGGAGAATTGAATTTAAATTTTCTGGGTCGCATGTGGGCAGAGGACACATCCCTAAAACTTCAGTTTCCGAGCTTTTGTAGTTCCCGAGGTAATAATCCTCCCCATCAAAACTTTTATGGGACCTACGTGCTACCTGCGGGTACAGGGAGATTGAATTTGAGTTCTAGGTCCCACGTGGGCAGGGGACATACAACACAAAATTTTAGTTTCCTACCTTCCCTGGTTTACAAGATGATTTTACTCGCCAAAAATTTCACGGGGCCGTATGTGTTACTCGCTGGCACAGGAAGATTAAATATGAGTTTTCTGGGTCGTACGTGGTCAGGGAACATACCCAAAAAATTTCAGCTTCCTAACTTCCGTGGTTCCCGAGATAATAGCTTACTCGCTAAAAGTTTCGAAGGGAGGTAGGTAATATCTGGAGCGCAGAAATACTGGATCTGCGAGGCCGTACATGGGCAGGGGTCATTACCCCAAAATTTCAGCTTCCTAGATTCCCCGGTTCCCAAGAAGTCTACCCACGAAAAGGTTTGCCGAGCCGTACATGTTACCTGCGGGTACAGGAAAGGTGAAATTTGAGTTTTCTGGGTCGTACGTGGTCAGGGAACATACCCATAAACTTCAGCTTCCTAGCCCCCGTCAAAAATTTCACGGGGTTGTACGTGTTACTCACGGGACAGGAAGATTGTTTTTGAGTTTTCTAGGTCGCACGTGGTGAGGGAACATACCCAAAAAACCTCAACTTCCTAGTTCCGATGGTTCCCCAGATACTGATTTTACCTGCCAAAACTTTTACGGGGCCGTACTTGTTACCTGCGGGTACGGGAAGGCTGAATTTAAATTTGCCGCATCATACGTTGGCTGGGAACACTACACTAAAATTTCAGCCGCCTAGCTTTTGTGGTTCCCGAGTTGAAAGTGCGGGGCCAAAATGTGGGGAACACACACACACACACGCAAACAAACAAATACACAGACAACTCCGTGACAATATGCGTTTTGTACTGCTGTTACACAGCACAAAACGCTTAAAAATTAACGCAAACCCGAAAAAGCAAAAAAAGCGAAGTCAAAAAAACTTGAACTTGTGGATAAAGTGAAAACCCAGGCTGGAACGTACTGGGCGGGCCCGTGCGATCATGCGTTTTTACACCGGACTTGAAGTGCTCAGGTCATTAACTGCATGAATGGCTGCTGCTTTACACCTACTTTTTGCGGTCACTTGCATAAATCACCATAAATCTTGCAAAGTAAATGTACAATTTCCATCTAACAGTCGTTCTTTAAAAGTAACCTAGTTGTTCAGTGAGAAATTTTTTCGTCAAGGACTTTAAGTTTTTGCCCGTACGTAAGAACCTCAACGCTGAATTTGAAATATTTAAGTTGTACTTGGACAGGGAACATCCCCTCAAAATTTCAGCCTTCCAGCTTTTCTTGTTACCGGGCTAGCAATTTTCCCGCCAAAACCTTTTTTAGGCCCTCACGTGGTTTTTGACTAAAGCGGTGGAAGATAGGGAAGAATACCAGCACTTTATTCTTCCAAAACAAGCTTTGCTTCAAACAAAACAACGAGCTGGGGCGCTACACAAGTTGTTCAGCAGAAGGACGCTGGTAGTGTTGAGGCGAGACGCTAGTAGCGTTAGTCGAGGCAGGACGCAGTGCACCAATGACGCTGTCGATCGTGTTGACTTCTCCAAACTAAGGGCCTGGGTATTAGGAAGGGGTTTATACAGGGAAAATTAAAGGAGAGAAAAGGAGGACAAGTTAGTTAGTGCGTGAGGAGGTAGGTAATACGGAATTATTTAGAATTTGGTGGAACTGTTAGAAATTAGTGAGTGAAGGGAAGTAGGTCGAAGTGTTAGGGACTAGTGAGAGGAGGGAAATTGAATTGTAGAGTTACACCTTCACATGCCCATACTTGGGTACTTCACCTGCCTGGAAAGTTGAATTGGAAAGTTTTAAATTGTATGTGGACAGGGAACATCCACCTAAAATTTCAGCCTTCCTGCTCTTCTGGTTGCCGAGTTCGTAATTTTCCTGCAGAAACTTTCATACGCCCTTGCGTGAGTACCACGCACAGATTGGGGCTGAATTTGAGATATTTGAGTTGTACTTCGATAGGGCTCATGTGATTCCCGAGATCGCTTTCCCGCCAAAAAATTTGCTTATTTTTTTAAAGCGTACGTACGCGGCACCCAGGCGTCCGCGGGAGATGAAATTAAGAAGGGAGGGTCGCGCATGGTATAAGCATATATCCCGAAAGTTTCAGCCTTCTAGCTTTTCTGGTTTTCGAGTTGAAAGTGAGTGACAGGAAGTGCAAACAAACGTACACACATACACGCAAAGCAGTCTCTTCACAACATGCGTTTTTGCAACTTGCATACATGCAAAAACGCATAAAAAGCAAAAGCCGAAAAACTGCGTCTACACGAGCGGAAACTCTTATAAAAAACCCGTCGCAAACTCCTCCCTCTATGAAACTGACGCTTGGATAACGCTGGATGTGAATAAATTCCACAGCAAGATATGAAGTGATTGAGAGTGGCAGGCTGAATGTATGGTAATGAACTCAGTCCTTTTTTATGTGATTTTGGAGGTAAAAACTGTGTGCAAGTGTCGAAGGCAGTAGATTGGAATTACCAAGTGGAATTTTTATGCAAACCTAGTCGCACTTATTTGCTTTCGGCTTCACCTGAACAGCACCTCCATAAACAGGCTCCCCACCGACGAAGGGTTTTTATGGGCCAATCCCCACTCCCCTAAGTTTAATTTTGCTTCTCGCCTTTGCTTCTTTCTACCTTTATTCACGAGTTCAAATATTTCAGATCTTGCTTTTAACAAAACAGGTTTGGACTCGTTTTAATTTACTTGTCTTTGTGGTGCCATGTCTCTTTCTCTTTACTGCCTCCGCAAAACTTCCCTCCATTCCTGGCTCCAGAGCTGTATCTGGGTTCGACCACAATAGAAACGAATGTCCAATAACAACTGACATATTTCTAGAAAAACGGCAAGCGTGTCGCCTGTGAGGAATTAATAGCACAGGAGTACGTCGGGTGAAAATTGCAGTCGGAATGAGCAGACAGAACAAAAAAAGATTTTATTTCGAAAAATTGGGACATTTAAAAAAAGCAACGAGAACAAAACTATGAGAGCGCCGACAAACTTCTGTTTTATCTAAAAAGATAATTTAGAGTTTGTTCCATTTTTAACTTGCACAATAAGTCTGGTCTCCGTGCCAAACCGACCAATCTCTCAAGCGTAAATTCAGAACGAAAGCAATTTAAACTGCACTGACTCGCACTGGCGCAAAAACAAATTTTTAATCGAGCAAAAACCGACCACTTTTCTGACAGCCGCTCAGAAAAAATCGAACAAAAATGACCACAAAAACGCTTTCTTCTCACGGAGCCGTCAATTCCCACATTCTCAGTTGGCAAAACACTCTGGTGCACAAAAAGCATTACATCTATCACACTGCACAGACAGCAATGCACGAAGCAAGGAATCTCGCGATTGCAAAAATGGCGAAATAATCCCCCACCCCACCGCTCAATGGAAATGTGTAAAGCAAGCAGCAGTAAGTCAGGTGCGAAATGTTACACCACTAACTCGGCGATTATCAGTCCGCGTTACATTATGAAAAAAAAAAGCTCGTGTTTTGATAAGGAGGACTTAGACAAAAAATTTTTTTGATAAATTCGCATCAACTTTTCTGTGCAACATAGGCTGGTGCTACTTAAGCTTTCAAAAATCACTTTAAAACGAAGCAAATTAAAATTCAAAAAACGATCATTCAATTCGAAACAAAAGACAATTTTTAATTTTAATTTTTTTGTCTTCACAGTCCATCGATGCACGCATCTCGTCTCAGTTGCCGCCTGTCTCACCCGTCTGCTCGCCACCCTCCTGGTCGTCAGCGCCCGTGTCCGATGTCCAGAGTGTCAGGTTGTCACGAAGGAGCTGCATGATCAGTGTGCTGTCCTTGTACGAGTCCTCATTCAGAGTGTCCAACTCGGCGATCGCATCATCGAATGCCTAAAGCAGTCTGCACTGTACAGATGCATACGGATGCGAAGACCAAAATAACAAAATAAAGAGACCAACACCTGCATATCTGAGCAGCAACAGTGATAAGCGATCGGTGGGAGAGAGGGCGCTCGGTGCTATTCTCTATGCAAGTACCTCCGATCTCCCGAGAGCACCTGCAAGCAGGCCGCTCGTGCATTCTTGCCGAATCAGAGCAAAAAGAAGGGCTAGTAAAAATTTTCTCCAAACCAGATGCCAGATTCTCCCTCACTCAAACTGTGAAACTGAAGTGAAGTACCGGGCCCAACTGTCCACTTATCGAAGCAACCTCTTTTACTCCGCCGTGTTGGTAGCTGGTATTGGTCAATGAGAGAAAACGTTCTCAACCTGATTCTGAAGCAAATTCCGCAAGAATGAACTCCCTGCATTGCCTTATCATTAAGCGCTTGCTGGTGGCACGGTATCAACCCCCGAACCACTAGCGGAGGCTTCAGTCTTCTAAATGCTGGAACACCTGACGGCTTATTTTGAAGAACCATGGACCTTTTGAGGAGGCACTCATCACTGCACAGCTACGCAAAATAAACAAACAAAACAAAAATTAGGGAAAACTGAAGCAAAGGGAAGCGTTGAAAAAAACAAGCAATCTCTCA